AATACAAGCTCAAACTTTCCACAAGAATTCCTTTAGTAACAAATCCTGATATCATATACTTACTGAGAACACTCTTAGCCATTCCATGACCTCCTGGTCAGTTTCTTGGAGCTGCTTCCTAATCTCCTGACGTCTTATCTCAGACTTAGCTAATGAATGAAGCATCCTCTTCTGCTGCTGATTGTATTCATGCTATAGAACAAGATTAAAGAAGATACACACACAATTAAAGTACATTGTATATGGTATAAGGTAGTGAAGAAATGGAAGATAATTTCATCACAAACTTACAACAGCTTTAAGTTCATTTTGTGCTTTCATTAATTCTTTAACAACCTCATCTTCATCATCAGAACTGTCCCTCTGAGACTAACAGGAACAAAAGAGACAAATATATACATGTATTACAGTAGGTACATATGTACATGTATACACAGTCATGACATTTACTGTTAGTATTACTGTATAGCTCCAAATTGAAGCTAATGAAGCTTATACACAAAACTATTAACAAACAATTGACCTACAGGTTCATCATAAATCATAAATGTAATACATGTACCATATACCGGTTTATTTTCGCGAATCTTGCATTTCTAAGATTTCACAGAATTAATTTTCATGAATTGCTTGCAGTCTGCACCACCTAGCAATGGAGAGCACAAACTGTGAAATTCACGAAAATATTTTACTACAAAAATGAACCGGTATACATTGTAACACGCATGCACTGTATAGAGATAAATTTTTAAGAGCTGTAAATTTTTGCTATTCTTTGAAAATATGATATCATTTATCATGGTACAAGAGGCAGATTGCATAATTTTATGAATATTAAATCCACAAAATAGAGTACATCACAGTACACTCTTCTCTCTCTCTCTTACCATCAACTGGTTGATGTTTAAGTCTCAAAATGATACTCCAAAAATGAAAAATGAATCTAGAAATAACAATAGGAACAATTATAGGAACAATTCACCTCAAAGTGGGTGACAATTTTTATATAGTACATGTAATTTTTACTTAAAAAGTAGGTGACAATTTTCATGTAAAACTTTGGTAATGTTTGGTATCTGTCATTTTTAACAAAATTTGGTCAAAGTCCTTGTACTGTAGTACAGGGACTTTAGCCCAATTTTGGAGCAACTTCAAAAATTTGTAGAAAAACTAAATTTGATCAGAATCAGCTATACAACATAAAACATGTATGTGTAAGGAAAAGTTATAAAAATAGAGAAACTTTTACTTTTCAATTTTAGCAAAATTAATTGAAATTGGCTCCAACTTTCTACGCAACATACATGTAAGAACATGTATCAGGAAAAATTTTAAAATTGAAGAAATCATTAGTTTTCTTGGCAAAACTCCATGTACTGTAGTGCATGGACTTTGACCCAATTTTTGAGCATATTAAAATTCATAACAAAATCTATTTTTGATCGGAATTAGTTCAAAATTTTTATGTAATACTAACACAACGCATGCATATGTATCACTATCAGTATAGCTGTACTATAGTAAATATTTTGTCAAATTAAAAATGTCTGGCAAGATGCTGCTAAGCACTATACCAAAAAATACTGTGGAAAATCTACGTGTATAGATATGTACATGTATGAATGTACATTGTGTGTCAGTCTCACCTAAACTCAATCCTCT